AGCAGTAGTAGTAGTATTTGAGACAGGGTTTCTCTGTGTAACTCTGGCTGTCCTGGAACTCTCTCTGTAGAGCAGGCTGGCCTCGAACTCACAGAGATCCTCCTGCCTCTACCTCCCGTGTGGTGGGATATTATTATTGTATTGTATTGGGCTACATAAGATCATTTTCATGCAAGTGTGTGAGTGTGGTCTGAGTACATCCCCCATATTCCACTACCCTCCCTTCCCCAATCCTTCTTTCCATTTAATTTTATATTTGTTCAGAACAATATTTCCTCTTCTTCCTTGTGAATTCCTTTCTGAGCCATTTAGAGGTGTTACTTGAATTCCAAATACCTGCAAATTTCCTGGATACTTTTCTGGTGTTAATTTCCAGTTTATTTCTGTGCTGATGGAGAAAAAAATTTTTATGACCTAAAATTTTAAGTTTATTAAGGATATCTTTAGACACAGAAAATATGAGCTATGTATTTGAGAAGAAAGCTTATGTTTTGTCTGAGGGTAAAATATTCTATGATGTCTTTTAGGCCATGCTAATTGATACTGTCATTCAGGCCTTCTGTACCCTCACGGTCTTCTGCCTCAGTCAGCTGATGAGAGAGGGGTATGTAGGTTTGTATATTTATCCTTTCTGCTCCATCCCTATTTCCTCGTGTATATGGACATACAATGATCAGGTGCATCGTGCTCTTAGGGTTATCATGTCTTGATAAGTTGACACTTTTCATTAGTACATATATCCTTCTCCAACCTTGTTAACATTCCTTGTTCTGAAATCTACTTTGTCAGCCACTAATATTGCCATTAATTATACTTTTTTATTGTTTGCATGGTATAGCTTTCCCAACCTTTGAAGGGCTATTTTGTTTTGAAGCCAGGGCTTTAGGCAACCCAGGTGGACCTAGACCTCACTGTGTAGCTGAAGTTTGCCATCTGTTACCTCCTGACAGCTAGAATTATAGATGTGAACCAATAAACCTGGCCACTATCCTTTAAAATATCAAGTAGGTGGTGGCTCACACCTTTAATCTCAGCACTCAGAAGGCAGAGGCAGGTGGATCTCTATGAGTCTGAGGTCAGCCTGGTCTACAGAGTGAGTTCCAGGACAGTCAGAGCTACATAATGAAACCCTATTTTGAAAAAAAAAATTTATTAAAAGAAAATAAATTTTAGCATACCACTTGTCTTTATACTTAAAGCAGGTTTCTTACAGACAGAAATTGGTGAGATGATGAAGCGGTCTGGTAGTCTCTGCCTTTAAGTTGTTGTATTTAGTACATTTCCATTTATTATAGTTACTGACATGATTAGTTTCAGGTCTACTACTTTTATTTTTCTATTTTTGCCATCTGTTTTTCCGTTTTTTGTAGTTGCTTCAAATTTCCTCCCTTCTTTTGGAATATCTGAATTAATTTTTAATATGTTGTTCTTTCTACTTTCATTTTTAGATTTGGTTCTATTTTTAGCTGTTGCTTCAGGGATCACAATACACACACCTTTTCCTGGCCTATTTAGGGTTATTATTTCATCATTTCAAGTATAATGTATATTTTACATTTTATTACGTGCATTTATGTGTATTCATGCACATGTTTGTGTGGGTATGCATGCCCAACATACTTGTGAGCTCACAGGACAACATGAAGGGATGGATTTGCTCCTTCTGCCCTGTGGGTTCTGGGGGGGGGGTCAAACTCTGGTCATCAGATCTGGTGGCAGGCACCTTTACCTACTGAACCATCTTGACATACCATATCATGCAAAGCCAATCTAAGAAATCCCCTTCATAACATATATACACCCTAAGGTTCTCATCCTGCACAGAATCCTGCCTGAGTCACTTCTTGAATATGTTAATGTGTGCCTTTCATCAATTGAGGTGGGAGCAGTAGCCCCCATTATTTCCTCAAATATTTTTTTTTCTGCACCAATGTTTTCCTCCTCTGCTCTGAGAATCAAATGACATGAATACTCTATGATCATGTCCCACGTGTTGTCACACACACAGGACCCCAAGGCTCTATTAGCTCTAAAAGAAATTTATCCCCCCTTTTTTCAGATAGAATAATTCTATCATCTGTCTTCAAGTTCAGTGAATTTTTTCTGTTATCTCCCTTATGTGAACCTAGCCAGGGAGTATTTTATTTCAGTTATTTTTTTTAATTCAAAAATATCTGTTTTGTTATTTTTTTCCTATAGTTTCTGAAACTCTGCTTTGAACAACTGTCTTTCTAGCCATTTAAATTATAACTGCCACCTCTGGTAATGATCTTAGCATGGAAGTCTTCCTAGAGCTGGTACCTTTTGTAACTTTTATCTTAAGTACTGGTCACAGGGGTGTGTGTGTGTGTGTGTGTGTGTGTGTGTGTGTGTGTGTGTGTGTAGTGTAGTGTAACGTAACGTGTTCAGTAACCTTAGATTGTGTTCTGGATACTGTGAATGTTACACTGTGTAGACTATGGGTCCTGTTGTAATCGTCTATGGAACGTTGATGTTGTCAAGCCTGTCTCAAGGAACAACCAACAGCTGGTGAGATGGCTCGGTGTGGAAATGCACTTGCTGCTCAAGTCGGTGGCCTGAGTTCAAGCCTCATGCTCACATAAAAGTAGATGAAGAGAACCAACTCCAAAGGTTGTCTTCTGACCTCCACATGTGTGCACACATGATCCACCACCTCTCTCTCTCTCTCTCTCTCTCTCTCTCTCTCTCTCTCTAGGGGGGTTGTTTTGTTGCTTTCTTGTTTGTTTATTGAGACAAAGCCTCCCTACATAACCCAGGCTGGCCTAAAACTTGCTATGTGGACCAGGCTGGCCTCAAACTTGTGGCAAGCCCCCAGCCTCTGCATTGTTCGTACTGGGATTACAAGTGTGCTGAGATACTTATTGGTGTTCTGGGAGATGATGAACAGATCTGGTCTCGTCTCTAATCTTCCCCCTTTCTCTTTCTGCATTTCCAGGCCCCGGCAGCAGCAAACTACATTTGCCAGAATGCCTTGAAAGTGCTTCTTCCACTCTCTCTGGTTTGGGCAGCATCCCCAGCGATGGCTGTGTGCGAGCCCATTTTCATTGCTGTTACAAAATGCTTGACATAAACGACCTGAAGGATGTATTGGCTCACAACGTCAGATGTCATGACAGGAGACTGTAGCAGAGGAAGTGTGGCAGTCAGAAAACGGGGAGAGAGACAGCCTACACTAGCAGACTTCTTCATTCCCTCTAAGCTCCTAGCCTATGGAATGCTGTCACCACCTCTGGGGCAGATCTCTGCTTTGTTAACCCTCTCTGGAAGGGCCTCTCTGATGCACCCAGAGATGTACTTTATTAATCCCGTGGGCACTTCTCAGCCCAATCAAGTTAACAATCAAGACTAACCATCTGGGTTGGGGCAGAATATGCCCACCATAAGCACTAAAACCAGGGTTCAGATCCTCCACCGCCCCCATATATGTATACATACATACATACATACATACATACATGGTCATAGTGGTACGCCTATGATCTTGAAACGGGAGGACTCTTGGGCTTTGCTGGCCAGTCAGTCTAGCCAAATCAGTGAGCTGCAGATTCAGGGAGAGGCCCTGTCTCAAAAAAATAAGGTGGAGGACTGAAGGAAACCAGAGACAAGTACCCGTGGCTTCCATGTGTGTACATGCAAATGTGTGCACACAGATGCTCCTCCCCCAAAACAAGCAAACAAAAAACAATACAACTCAGAACACAGACATCACATCTGTGTCTCCTTCGTTCTTCCTTCTTGAGAAACCTTGTCCGTCCAAGTCCCTGCTTGGTTGCCCGGGTTCCTGGGCTGGCAGAGTACTGCCGCTTCCTCTCCCAGGCCCTCTACCCCAGGACAGGTGAAGCCTCCTCCTATCTGACCCCAGGGTCTTTCTCACACACTGTTTCCCTGTCATCTCCAACCTAGGAACATCAAATTTCCTGGGGCTGAAGGTGATTCCAAGGTTAAAGCATGTGTTGCTCTTTCAGAGGACCAGGTTCAGATCCCAGCACCCATATGGTGGCTCACAACCATCCCTAACTCCAGTTCCAGGGCTCTGTGACCCTCTTGTGACTTTATTGGGCACTAGGTATATGCACATGGTACATACACACGTGTCGGCAAAGCACTCCTACACATAAAATAAAAGAACTACATCTAAACATCAACAAAACAGATGAAATGCCCGTATATTCCTCCTGTCCTGCTTTGTCTGTAAGAGAACAGCAGAAGGAAGGACCCACATATGGCTACCCAGAAGGGCAAGGCGTTGACATAAATTGACACAATTTTTATGGGAATACAAAAAATAAGTTTTCATCACATAATCAAATTTTTAAATTATCATGTTCATGGGTTTCTTTTTTCTTTCTTTCTCCTTTTTTTTTTTTTTCGAGACAGGGTCTCACTACATAGCTAAGTAGACTCAGAACTCACCCTGTAGTCCAGGTTGGCCTAAAATTGAGAGATCTGCCTGCCTCTGTCTCCCAAGAGCTTGGACTAAGGGTGTGTGCCACCTTGTCCAGCATGCCCTCTCTTAAACTGAAAATAAGACAGTCTGTTAGAACGCTGGCTGGTGCTATTCATCTAGGCCCCTCCTCTTCCCCTGTGTCCCATTAGCCCGGGAGCAGGTAAAGCTTGGGGAACTGAAGTGACCTCAAAGAGACCCAGCAGGGCAGACTATGGAAAGAAAGCAGAGCCAGAACTGGGACTGGGCTGAGGACTCCAGCTGCGGGGACAGTAACAGATGGGAGACAGGGGCTTCAACTCAGGAGCAAACCAGAGCTCATGGAATCCAGCCAGTTCGGAGAGAGACCAAAGGCTTGGCAGCTTCCCCCGCAGGGCCCCTGAGCCTAGACACTAGGGAAACAGGAGCAGGGAATTCCCGGGAATCTTCGGGAGGGCACAGATGAGGCCCAAAACCAGAGCAGTCCAGGACAGGTGGGCACTTCTCGGTCCCTGTCCTGTGGGCGCTTATGAGACAAGAAATAACACAGCCAATGTCCTCTATCACAAAAGGCCTTTAATAGCCTCTCGTTCAAGGTTCTTTTGCTCATTTGTCCTGTTGGAGTTGAATAAACTATAATGACTTCATAGAATAAGGGCAGCCACAGGTACGACAGGTTGTCCTGGATGTGCTCCAGGCATGAATGTGCCACAAATCATCACTTCACAGAGGGTCACAGGCCTGAGGCTGCCCCAGCCACCCCTCCCCACCACACCCAGGACACATATCAGCTCCCATCCCTCGGAAGAGGCAGCCACACAGCAGCTGTGACTGGACCTAACACTGAGTGGAGATGCCCAGGGAAGACAGAATATCCTGTATATTCATTCTGTTGTGGGCTCGGTAGGTTGGCAACTCAGGCAAGACGTTATTCCCTCACGTAGGCTGCCACCTCATATGACCTCTCTTCCTACCCACGTATATCCCTTCCAGTAGTCCCTGTGAGGTGGGCAGAGCCTGGTACTAGCCCTTTACACATGGGGAACCTGAGGTCAGTGGGGGTCTCCTAAGTCACACTTGGACTGAACATAAACATCAGTTGGCATTCTTTCTCCCATGCCATGTGATTAGCAGTGCCCTGAGCTTCAAATCCTAACCTAGAATGCCAGGAAGCCCAGGCAGGACTGTGCCAAAGGCTAGCCCAAGTCTCAACAATAAGCTGTCCTAGAAGTAAAGTCCCATGAGAGTGCAGACCAACGTGGAGGGAAGCTGGTGGACTGCAGAAGGGGGAACCAACCTCTTTGGGCATAAAAGCCTCCTGCTGTGCACATGGACATCCACAGGTGTAGAAGTGGAATCCTAGGAGATTTATTCAAGGAAGACATGCTTAAAATGTCTCTGGAGAATCCAGCCTCATAAATGTCCTCCTTGTGGTATCTCTTATGTGAACCTGGATTCTCACTCCTTGGCTGTGCATAAAGAAGCCAACCCTAGTTTCTCCACCCATTGCCCTGATCTTCCTGTCGAGCCATGGGCCTTGCCTGAGAATGAGTCCTGAGTGGAGACTGGGCCTGGCTCCTCACTCCATGGTCCCATGCAGCCCATGCCAAGCCCTACCCTCACTGAGCATCAGGCCCGGCCCACATCAAACTCGTTCTCACGCTTCAGGGTAGGTCAACTAGAAAACAAGCGTATGTGTGTTCAAATGCTTGGGCCTGGTGACCTGAGTTCCAGCACGGAGTGTCTTCGTGTTGGGGTGCGGGAGTCACCCCAACACACGAAAGCAAGGAGAGCCTGTGCTTGCTGGTCTAAGATCAAACCTCAGAATGGTGGTTTGAAGATTTTTCTTCAAAGCAGAGTTTAAAAGTGAAACCTCAAAAGACAAGAGAGCTAAAAAGCAGAGTTATTCTGGAGGAAGTGGAAATGAGGGGAAGGCGGGAAACTGGGCCTGTTCCCCCTTCCCCAACTTCCCCCGGCAGCAACCCAGCGAGGCTGTGTGGAACACCGAGAGGTCCACAGTACCTGGGGCAGACAGTGGGTCCCAGGGACCTGTGCTTTGACTGTGACTTCCCTTTTGGGGGTGACAGAGTTGGTAATGTTGAGGGAGGGAGTGCTTCCCCGCCCACAGGCCTCCCTGTGAAGCCAGTGTGCACGGGGGTGGCAGAGGTGTGGATCCCGCCCCCACCAGCAGGCTGCCTCAGGCAGGGAAGGAGGGCAGAAGTTACAGGGCTGCCTGGGCTAGGCCCAAGACAGGCTGTGTGGATAAAAATCAGAGAAGTCTCATTTGGTCCTTAAGTTTAAAAAGAGTAAATGTCAGAACAGGCACCCGCCTGCATCCTGGGAGTTCAAGGTTGGAGCCTAGCCCCCTCTCTGGTGGATGGGAGCCACACATACAGGCTTCAGCCCCTGGTGGGAGAGAGCTGCCTCTGGGATACAGAAGCTACTGTGAGTAGATCAGCCGGGCCTCCCCTCTCAGAGCAAGAGGATTGGACATTCCCAAAGGTCTCCAGGGAGCTGTGGTGGTTCTGTTGATCCTGGACCGGGACCTTCTACTTCTAAGAGACAACGTCTATTTCCTCTCACCCCTGCATTTCTTGGGTGGCACTATGGTGGCTTCAGCTCCCTGACCTGTGGTCAGAGGCCAGGTTTCTTGACTTCGGTGGGCTCTAGGAGGTGAGTCCAGGCCCAGGAGAGTCTAAGATGTTCCTCCCTGTCCCCTAATCACTGACAACATCCATGTCTTCTGTGTCCTGGTTGCTGGGACCCATACTTGGACAGTAGCACCTACACATCTCCCCCAGTGCGGTCACCAAGGCCACAACGGCCGATTGTCACTGTGGCTGATATCTAACCGGGAAAATCAGGACAAAAGACAGGCAAACAGAAGGCTCATTCCACAGCAAGCTTCCTGTGTGACCTCGGGCCTCGTCCCTGCAATGACAGGGCCACCTCTGTGCAGCAGGCTGCAGCCTACAGAGTACTGGCTCCTGGCTCTCCCCTCAGCCTCATAGCAATCCCACAAATAAAGCAAACAAAGGCTATTATTCCAGTGAGCAGGGACTGAGAGGTGACCTTGGGGACTTTCAGGACATGGTCCTTTTCACTGCACCAGGTGGGAATCAGGTTGTCAGCCACCCTCCAGCGGGAGCCATCTGGGCTTTAAAGCTGAAATGGCCATGGGGTCCAGCCAAGCAACTCAGTCCTTATCTTTCTGGGAAGTGAATTCTTCTCTTGGCTGGGGTAGGTACTGGGCAAGTCCAGTTGCCCTCTATTGATGAGCTTTTACCAAAGCATGCTATTCCTGCCCAGATTGGCATCAACATGTGCCCCTTGGTCTACTGGAAAGTCCCAGTGTGGGCTGTTTGTTGGCACAAATCCCAGTCCCTCAGCACAAGAAAAGCCAATACCACTGGATAGTGCCTGGAACCTCAGGAGGCTCCTTTGCCTCCAGGTTCATGCCAAGTACTTCCTGGCCAGGAACACTCCAGGACAGAGAAGGGCCCTACAGAGAAACATTGGGTCATGTCATGAGATGGGGGTTGGGCATGGTGTCTGGAGCAGACCAGAGGTCTAGACAAGGGATCTAAGCCCCCTACTGAAGAAGAAGCCAAAGAAACAAGTTAGCCTGTGCATCTCACCCAGAATGACACTCCTGTGGAGCAGAGACAAGTAACACCCAATCCCAGCCTCACAGAGTGTAATTTCCAGTGTGGGTTTGAATCCACCTGGAAGGGGCACTGTGTCCAAACTCACATCAAGGCACTATGTGGACTAGCTGTAGCCAGAGCTGTCAGTACTTTCTCTAACTTTCCCCTGACCAGGAGTTTTCTATAGACAGGGATCCAGGGAGAGATCCACCTCAGTGTCTATAGTACCCAACGTTAAAGAACAAAGCTGTCAGCAAAGGACGGTTTGGCTGGAACGCAACTTGACCATCGCCCTTAGGCAGGCCGGCTCAAAACACAGAGAACTCTGATCTTCCCTGCAGCTGGAGAAATTTCGGTTGATCTGTGGGATAAACCCAGAGGATGAGTGGGGATACCAAGGTGCAGGAAGTTCAAGAAACCAGCCTGAAAGACTTTGCTTGTATGAGTTAAGGATGGGAGGGAGGTTTGCCAGGGAGGGGTTAGCCCAATGCTGAAGGGCCTTGTATTAGCTCCAGAGGTTTTAGTGGAAGCCAGTGGAGGGCACATGCTTGCCTTACACTGTTCAAGATTTTCATCAATTCTGTAGGTGCAAAAGTGCCCAGCTAGCTCTGGTAAGGAAGGGATACCAGGGGAGCCAGCAGTTATGATCCCAGGGCTGGCCAGGGCATATGACTGCCCCAAACTGGCTGTTCTAATCTGGAAAGAGGTGCCTTAGGTTGACTGCTTATGAGATTTAGAAGGTGCAGGGCCAGTGGGCCTGGACCATTTCACCATGAGAAATTATTGCAATCACTGGGCACGATGGACTAAAACTGGTTGGGATCCGACCTGTAAAATAAAGTATGAAGCCAGTAGCAGTGGGACATGCCTGTAATCTTAGCATCTGAGGCAAGAGGATCAAGAATTCAAGGTCATTCTCAGTTACAGAGTGGGTTCATGGCTAGCCTGGGCTACATAATATTCTGTCTCACAAACAAACCAAAGCTGTGGTCTCCCTTCTCAGGCAAGTATGGAACTGGGAAAAAGAGAACAGAAGTCAAGATGAGATCCTCTTGCCCTGCTAATCAATACATTTGATAAACCCAAGGTTGTCCACACACTTCTCATGCAAGCCTCAGCAAACACAAACTCTGGGACAGAGAAATTCACAAAGGCTGTGACCACAACTTGACATCAGACAAGCCGACTAGGGTCCAAGGGCAGCCCTTCCCAGGCAGGAAGCTGTACTCGGTGCTCCGCCCAGCCCTGAGTCCTCAGGTCCCATGAATCTCCTCTGGAGGGGGCAGTTGGCAGCCTCAGTTCCACCTGGTAGACCAGAACTCAGAGAGCCACATATTTATAGAAACAAGAACTGGAAACCCTTGGGGTCATCTGGTCTACCTTCTGGCTTTCCAACAAGAAACTGAGGTCTGAAGAGGGGGAGGGGAACTGGTCCAAGGTCACACAACAAGTTAGCATCAAAGACCAAACAAGGCTATCTCTGAGCACCGTTTGCCACCTGTCTGCCCTGTTACCCTGGGAGACACCCCAGTCAAGTCACACTAACACCAGCTGATAGATACTGGGTACCCATGACCCTGATACGAATGGGATCAACTCCTCCAAGAGAGGAGGCACTTTCCTGCAGGTGAGTGCATCTCTACGGGTGCCACCTTCTGGGATGGGCTCCCCTAACAGTGGGGATGGTTGCCTCAGGAACCTCTCTCTCCCCCTCCTCCTCTCCCTCTCCCTCCCCCACTCCTAGCTTATGGGGCCAACTCACTGGAAAACTACTGGAGGAAGTTGGAAGGCGCTAGAGGCTTCAGCTGTCCGTGGCCCTCCATCCTTGCTTCCTGAAGGACCAGCCACGAAGGGAAAGGAGGAGGATGGATGCTCATCCCCTACCCTGCCCTGTCTCTTAACCCCCCCCTCAGAAAACCTTCTCAGTAGCTTTGGCTCCCTGCTAGGGGCTGGCATTTGTTAAAGACCTGCTTCCTCTCTCTGTGCCCCCATACAAAATGCAACAAAGCTAAGGTGACCCATCCGATTAGCACTGACAGATGTGTGGGTGGATCTGCAGCCTGCCTCGATCCAGGTGTCTGCTGGTTAGAAAGTCAGTCCATTGCTCTTCACTCCTGGGGTCTATGTGCCTCCCCCATGAAACACAGGGACATGGACCAAGGATGAGGGTGGAGGGGAGGAGTCTCTGGTGGGCCTAGACCACAAGAAACGCATCGAGAATCTATTCACAGTCTTGCCCTCTCCAACCTTCAATACAGTCATCTTTTAGCTGCTGAAACTGTGTCACCTCCTGGGACGGCAGACATCTTCTTGTGTGTCTTGAACCACCTTGCCCAGCCTCTCCACATCTTCATACCCACCATCACTTTGGCCTTCTGGCCCCACCCTCCCCTTTCTGCTCCCCAACTCAAGCCAAATCCCAAGGCCAGGTAGTGTGGCCTTCCTGGGAATGAGCGTGAAAAGGGGGTGGGCAGGTGATTGCAGAGAGATGGCTGAGGATGTGTGCTGTGGTCCTGCTGGCATGGTGATGTGAGGCCAGTTCTGAGGCTCGTCACCGAGACTTGGAAGACCACTGGGGCCCCTTGGTAGAAACTGGAAGAACAAAAGGGAGGGGGAACCGGAATGGAAAGGAGACGAGAAAGCATCCGAGTGCAGAAGTGAACCTGGAGCTGCCAGGGTGAGGGCCGGCCCCAGTCTATCTGTTGTTGAGGTGTGGAGAGCCGGTGCCATCCTCCTCTTCGTCCTTGTCGTCCTTCATGCCTTTCAGCCTCTGGCGGGCAAAGTCCTCAAAGACAATGTCGTCATCACTAGTGGAAGAGACAAGGAAAACGCCATGTGTTCGCAGGGGCAGACAACAGGCAGATCCAGAGGCCTGGTCAGATGTGGGAAGAGGGGCTCAAGAGAGACCCACACTCACCAGGGTCTCTGGGATGACCTCAGATGGTCATGCCAGAGCTGACTCATTTACAAACCCACTGGTAGCTGTGGGGATTGTCACACATAAATTCCAAGAACCTTGCCTCTCAATGTATAGGGGCTAGGAAAGTGGTCCACTTCCTGAGGGGATGGAGAAGGTAAGTAGGGGTAGCAATGTGCCTCTGCATTGGAATCTCCAAAGAACAGGCCCAAGAAACCCCACTTTACCCCTCAAAATCAAACCAACAAGACTGCTTAAGGGAGCATGCCTGTTTCAACCAGGAAGTTGATTCTGGGCTCTAAAGAAGAGAAAGCCTATATAGGCCCTTCCTACTAGAAGTACTAGTTCACATGCTACCCCCAAGGACCCTAAGTAGGATAGGGACTTTTGAGCAGGGCACAGAGGAAGGGGGAAAGATGCCTCGTTACGGTTGCAGGACTAAGGACTGTTTCTTTCCATCATGTCATATAGACCCAGACAGAGACACATGAAGGACCTTGCCCTATGGAGTTCAGCCAGCTAAATGGGCTTCCTCATAGGGCAACTTGAAACCCCCATTTCCCAGATCTCTCCAAAAAGTCAAGGAAAGGAGATTTAGGGAGCTAGAGGGAGAAAGCAAGCCTGGCCCCAGAGGTGATTCAAGCCATTGAACCAGGTCCTCTTCCTCTGGCCATTGTCTGGTGCCTTCCACCGCAGGGGAATCCGAATCAGTTGGTTCTCAGGCGGCAGAAGTGACCAGAAACCTTCTGCACCCTACAGGCAGCCTCCAACTGGCATGGGTCAGGTGAGAGAGGGGAGCCCAGGGTCTGAACCAGCCCCGTGCCAGCCAGCTGAGTGGGCGCTGCAGATGGACCGACTGACTGACGAGGAGGAGCGTGCAAGGACGAGAGAGGAAGACAGACCCCACCAATGCAGGAGGAAGAGGAACAGGCACGAAGGGTCCTTCAAGTCACATGCAGGCAAGCAGGTTGCTGAAGAGGTGATCAGAGGTGGTTCTCAGCAGACAGGTTAGACCAGCTGCTCCTCAGAGGTTAATAAGCATTTATGCAAACGACCCCTCCACCTCTCCCATCCCATCTCCAGCCCCTCCCATAGACATCACCGGCAGGGAGGTTCAGCTTACTTGGTGTCAAGCTCTATGAGATTGGTGTCTACTGGAGTCTCGCTCTCTGGAACTGAACATACACAAGGCGTGTGAGGCACCCAGGGGTTAGTGGGGGAACGGGATGAGAGGTGAGGAATGGGACAAAGACTCACCCCTCCCCCCACCCCCCACGCCCCACCCATCCTGGGACTCCCTAGCTAAGATGGTCAAGTAAAGAAGGAAGGAGAGCGGGAAGCACCCCAGGCCTCAGAGTGACCCGAGTCTTCTCAAAAGCAGCAGAGGCAGGGAGGGAGGCATCGGTGCCCACCGAAGACTCTGCAGGAGACAGGTCTCCAACATGAGACACATTCATTTCTTGCTTGCCTGAGTTCCGTTTACTCTAAAAAGACCATTTTTGTAGCCCTGGCTGGCCTCAAACTTGTGATCCTCCTGCCTCACACACCTCTCTCTGCTGGGACTGTGGGCATGTGCTGTCATGCCTGGCTATTTTTTTCACACTGTAATTCAGAGTGCCATCTGGGGCACTTCACAGTCTATTTGTAGACACCGACTTCATTTACGTTATGGACTTTAACATCCCTTTCAATGTACTGTGGCCAATCTGTTACCAGTTTAAAAACCCAACCAATATAGCGACTGAGAAACGGCTCAGCAGTTCAGAGCACTGGGTCTTCTGGCTGCGTGTTCAATTCCCAACACCCACAGGGTGTCTGTCAACCATCTGTAACTCCAGTCCCAGGGACTCTGACACCCTCTTCTGGCCTCTGAGGGCACTGTATACATGAGGTACACAGGCATACATGCAGGCAAAATACCCATACACACAAAATAAAAATATTTTAAATGGAAAAAAAATAAAATAAAAATAAAAATCCACCAGTATGGCCTGTCTCCCACTCCTAGCCTCCCTCTGCCATGGAGAACAGGAGTCAGGGCTCTCAGTCTCCCAGCTAGGTCAAAGTCAAATGTGCTGTGAGCCCTGCAAAAGACTGGGAGCTGGGGAAAGGGTGATACCGGGCAGAAGGCTAACCCAGAAAGAAGTGGGGTGGTGGGATAATGAGGAAGTTGGTAAGCCCCACCCCAGTGACCCATGGGTCTCACTCACCTTCCCGATGTGGGGGCTCCTCTTTAGGCTTGGGGTGCATTAAGGTAAAAGGCAGCTCCACGGCCACGTCACTGAAACACATACCCAACTCAGTGAGCTCGGAGGGAGCCTCGGGCTTTGAGACCCACTGCCCTGTCAGTCTGAGGCCTGGAGAGGTTCTTGGGAAAGCAGCCATACTCCAGTTCTGCTACCCTGACCATCAATCACCTTTTCTCCTATCTTCACGAAGAGCTAGAAACCCTACCACCACCCAAAAAATAAGAAACAGAAATTTCCCCTTGCTCCTAAGGATTGTCTGATTACCATGGCTGGGAAGCACACCACTCACACCATGGCCAGTGGGTAACCAAAGTGGCCTGGGGTCCTGCCCACCTCAAGTCACCATGGCTTCCTGACATTACCCTTCTCAATTTTCTCCCAATCCTACCCACCCCATCTCCCAACACTCCCATAAAGGGGTTCAGGTGACCCCAGGACCCCGCCACCTACAAGCTTCAGGGACTGGGGCTCAGAGCTGTTGCACTGTATGCAAGTTCTGACCCCTCATACATGTGCATGTGACAGGGAGAGCAGCCACCACTCATTGTTGGTGACCAGGCCTCCCCTGACCTGTCCCTGACAGACAGGTTGAGGACACCGAGCTGTACCTAGGACTGTTCCAAGACCCTCCTTAGAGTCCAGCTCCTGGACTCCTCACAACGACCCTATTATTACCATGACCTAGGCAAGGACCAGGAAGCTAAGGTACATGTAGATTAAGTCTCACCTCAGGCTGCACAGCTACTAAGTGGTAAGTGAAAAAAGATTCTGGCTCCATCGTTCACCCCCTTAACCACTGGATGATAAACAGAATTGGGAGACTAATTTAAAAAAAAAGTAGCCCCAGAGGTTCTTCTCTGCTAATGGTGGCATCATCCCAGGAGCGCCTCCCCTTAAACTGTGAAGGCCTCCAGAAGACACAATCACATCTTACTGATCGTGTTGCTCGGAGCTGGGACGGGGGAAGGACTGGGTGTGGTGGTGGGGGCTGGTAAAAGCCAGATTCAATCAGCCTTCAGTGAGGCCATATAGGTCAAGGCTGGAATGACCTGGGCACCGGCTTTGCCAGGCTGTGAGTAGTAAGGGCACCAATGGTTCCCCTTCTGAGATCCCAGCGCCCTGCAAAGGCCTGGCCACATGTCTGGACTCGGAAACTCTTTGCTGGATGACACTGAACAAGATAGAATTATCTCTTGAATCACTCGGATTTCATAGGGTGAGTGACACCATCATCATGTGACAGGAGGAAGTCACACTATCATGTCTGGGGCGCGCGCACACACACACACACACACACACACACACACACACACACACACACACACACTCCTAAGTTACTGTCTGGCTGCTGCAAAGGCAACTGACTACAGTTAGCCATGAATTCTCAGTGGCGTAGAAGTCTGAAAGCCACTGAGACTGCCTATCTCCGAAGCATTCTGAATTCAGGTCAGTACTTCAGTTGGCCCTCCTAGGGGCCACTGCCTGGGCCACTGTTGTCTACAAAGGTCCTGCCACTTGAGCAGGAAGGAAAGCTGGTTGATGTGTTTTGGTGGGAACCACATCTCCCCACTGTCCCAATACAGTTCCAGTTGCCACACCTCCACAGAGCCTGCAGTCTGAGATACCCCCCAGATTTCTCCCTCCCAGCACCCTGTGGTTCTGATCAGCTGGGTCTGTGACCCCGGGACCTGCAGGAAGGTGGGCAAAGCAGGACACAGGAGGGACTTTACCTGGATGCAAGATCTCCCAACAGGCTGAGTGGGCCAGAGGAGGCAGAAGAAGCAGTCGGGACAGAGTGCAAAGGGGGAGAAAAGAAAAAGGACATTCATTCACTCCTCTGCCACCCTGCCCCAGAAGACCCAAAGGACATGCTCCCCACCCCTGTGCAGCTACCAGCTCACAGAGGGCATTGAGGGATGGGCTGGCTTGCAGAGCCCCTGGACCCCAGAATATCTGTAAGAACTAATCCCCTACTTCCGGGCTACCTAATGGCAGAAGGAAGACTTTGGGGTCACTAGGATGAAGACTGTGGGTCCTGCAAGGTCACAGAACACATGAGTGGCCACTGGGTTTAGAAACGGTCTGTAACATGCAGTCAGCATTAACACTGCCAGCCACAGAGACGATATCCTTTATTCAATTGAGACAGGGTGTGTGTGATACAGTCCAGGCTGACCTCAAACTCGATATGCCACCAAGAATGGCCTCGAACTCCTGATCTCTTGCTTCTCCTTCCCAAGTGCTATGACTACATGGGTTGCGTCATCCTTGGGTCAGAGGCAATACCCTAATAAATGCTACTTAGTTCTTTGGGAGAACTATTTAGGCCTCATTTCCTCCATCTACAAAATGGGAAAGACAGCCATGTCAGCAATCCCCCAACCCAGCTCTGAGTTTCTCAGTCTCTGAGAGCGGTGTGTGGGCACTGTGCCCTGAGATGTGAGGAAGGGCATGGTAGCCCCTAAGAGTCACAGTACACAGTCTGAGGACACCCTGACTCACATAGGCTGTGTCCAGTCCTCAGAGCCAGACCCAGGCCTAGGCAGAAGAGGAGGAGAAAGGGAGAGGGATGGAGAGGAGGAGGAGCCTCAGCCAGTGGAGAAGGAAGAGGAACCAGAGGGAGGAAGAGAAGAGAAGTCCTCAAGTCCCGCCTCCTCCACAGGAAGATGCAGCTGAAAGGCCAGGCAAACAGGACGGGGCAGGGGTACTGGGGCATCCGGACTCACCCGCCCCGAGACACCACCAGCTTCACTTTCACTTTGTAGGAGACAATGATCCCCAGGATCTCACGGTTGGCACCTTCCCTCAACCTGCAGGGAGACAGGGAAGCTGGTCCATGCAGCTCCTTGGCGGGTGGGATGCGGGAGGCAGTGGAGTGCGATGGGAGGTACCACCGTCCTTCCCTCTCCTAAGCCACTAGGTCCAACAGAGCTGGGAAAGTGAGCTGTGCCCAGTGGACTGGACCTTGTGGCCTTGGGTTCCATATATGTCACTCTTTGTGGTACTAGAGACCGAATTCAGAGCCTCATACTTGATGGGCAAGTACTCTACCATTGAGCCACGGCCCCTTTCCCTTCTGTTACACGATTGCCTATGAAATGTCCTTGCTCTGCAGCCTTAGTGGGCTCTCCTCCGTGCCTAGCTAGTGCCACACAGTGCAGTGAGAGCAGGCCCTAACCACTCTCCTGCCATTCATTCGCTTCTCTCACAAGGTTTTCTGCTCAGTAAGTCATAAGCAGAAAGGGCCACATTGAGAGCTGAGAAGCCATGGGCAGCTGGGAGTCATGGTAGCCTGGGAAGGATGTGTTCAAGAGGGATGTCCTCACTGGGGGAGTGGAGGGCAGGTCGGGTGTGAGCCAGGGTAGAAAAGGGACAAACAGCTTGTTGGTAAATGGGAAGCCTGTGAGGAGTGACAATAATGTGATGGTCTAGCCTGAGCCAAGAGTCTTGAGCTGGGAATGGTGGTCTCAGTCGCAACAGATAGAGGCCAAATCCCTGAAGAGAGCCAGATTATCAACAGAGGGGATAAGAGTCCCTGACTATCTGGACTCCTCCAGAGTCAGGTAACCTAAAGGCTCAGTGACACCCACAGAACAAAAGTGACCAGATGGCCTCATAGTACCTCAGGTGGAAGGGCCCCCAAATCTCCCCAGCTCACCATCTCTTCCCCAGCCTCTCTAAGCCCCCATCCAGGACCCTTCTAGAACCCATTCTCTTCCCTCCAGCCTCGACAGCATCAGAAACACTCCCAATCTATGTTAAGGACTCTAGGCTAAGGGCTGCCAATGCTTGCAGGAAGTTTTTCCATTTGTGCCCCCCAGAGTCAAATGATGGGGCTGAGGAGTCTTTGAGTGGGCAGGTGGGAGTAGGAAGACAGCCTCCCTGGCTAGTCACACTCTGGGGACTGGCCCTAGTCAAGACTGGGAAAAGAGCCTAAACCTCATCCTCATGGTGGTGGGCCGAGAAGGTGGGGCCCCACGCAGGGTGGGCATTAGGAGCATGGGACTTGGAGGGGGCGGTTCTCACAGAGTGCTGGAAGCCAGATTTGTGTCTTCGTGCTTGAGTTTCCCATCCAGGGCAAGCCCCCGCTTCTCTCGGTTGTTGGCCAGGAAGGGAGTCAGTGTGTAGACCTTGCAGAACGTTGAGCTGGGTGCCACATTGTCACTGGGAAGTAGAGAAGTGGCATGAAGGTGGCCCTTATCACAGCCGGCCCTAACCCAGTCAAGATGTCTGGCCTGGCCCTATTCTAAAACTTCTTCCATCAGCAAACCTCTGTATCCCAGATGCAGGGGACCACTTTGGCCAGGCCCAGTTCTGGCAGGAAGCCCACAGCCACCCAAAAGAGGCACAAGCACACGGTACACAGGCAGGACTGCCCCTGGGCTAGGACTGGCCACGATGCACATTTAAACAGCACATTTACTTTAATTATTTACTTAATGATTAAGTTTGTATGTATGTGTATGTGTGTGTGTACCTCCATGAGTGCATGTGCATCAACATTCATGCAAGTGCCCTCAGAGGCCAGAAGAGGGTGTCATATCTCCTGGAACTGGAGTCACAAGCAGCTGTGAGCTGCCAGCTGTGGATGCTGGAAAGTGAACCCCAGTCCTTTGCAAGACCAGCAAGTGCTCTTAGCTGCTGAGCCATCTCATTTCCTTTTAAAAGTATCACCGCATACAAACCATGAGTAAAGCTACTGACTGTCTGCAAGTCCCCACCTAGGTTCTACCATTACAATCTTACTTGCTGTAAAACATATCTATCAATCACATGCAGGGGCCTCGGCTGTTTATTTCTCCTGGTGGTGTTCCATCTCCCCTCTCCCTTTTCATGATGATGTAGGTAAGGAGGCTGACACAGGGCAGCCCTGGAGTAAGCCCCAGATTTGCCTCTTTGAGCAGAGTCAGCCACATCTCAACCCCAACCCCAACCCCACCCCAACCAGGAACATGCTCCCTGGAAGCTCAGGCATCTCTCCTTTCTCCAGGCTGCAGATGCAAGTATGTCACAGGATGTGACATTCCACTTGGGACTGAATGCTATTCTGGCTCTGGGTCATTTCACTGTACCCCTGACACTCACCAGAAATCTAAGCCTTGTGGCTTTGGGTTTTGTTTTTAATTGATGATGGGTATAAGAATATCCAATAATGCATGAACATTAGGCCCAATAATAACATATTCACCTGTAGGATATAAAAACTATGTCCAAGTGGCAGGTGTGGTTGCTCACACCTATAATGTCAGTACTTGGAGAGCTGAAGTAGAGGATTGCCATGAATTCCAAGCAAGCCTGAGCTACATAGTGAGTTTCAGGCTAGCCTGGTCTCACAGTGAGACCTGGACTCAAAAACCAAAACAGGGGCCATCGAGTTCACTCCGCGTGTAAAGGCACATGTCACCTGAATTCTAACCTAGGACACACATAATAGGAGAGAACTGACTCCCAAAAGTTGTCTTCTGACCTCCCTATATGTGCCATAACAAAAAAATAGATGTGGGAAAAACATTTTTTTTTTTTTTTGGTTTTTTAAGACAGGGTTTCTCTGTGTAGCTTTGCGCCTTTCCTGGAACTCACTTGGTAGCCCAGGCTGGCCTCGAACTCACAGAGATCCGCCTGCCTCTGCCTCCCGAGTGCTGGGATTAAAGGCATGCGCCACCACCGCCCGGCTGGGAAAAACATTTTTTAAAGGAGACTCTTCCACGCCATCTACTATGAATGTCAAAGAAGGTGGAGACCCAGCCCTCCGCAGTTGAGAAGAGATGCCTGGGCCTAGGCTTCCCATTCTCCTATCTAGTCCCACCCATCCAAAGTGGGCCTCAAACACACTCACTCGGCCTCCTCCATGGCCACTGGGCACTTGTACTGCGCTGTGTTGAAGAGACAGATGTCTGCATACTGGCGTACTGGAGAGAGAGAGGCAGGGGAGGCAGGCACATGAGTCGGGGGGCCGCTCCCAGGATGCACCTTACGCTCCCTAGGGTAGGAGTGCTTAGATTGAGACAATGGCCACAGTTTACCAGAGGCCATCACCCCAGCCTCCACCCAAAAAGAAGTCCCCACCAAAGCCCAGTCCCTTCCATGACCAAGTCTTTGCTCCCAGGACAGCTTGGTCAGGGCCCAGAAAGCCTTTGGAAAGAAGTAGCCAAAGCAATAACCCCATTGCCTGGGACACCAGCTTCGAAGCCACCGTTGGCTGAGAGCAGACCCGTTTCTGAAGCTATTAACGGTACTTCACAGATTTTAACAAAGGGCGTGCCTACAGCTATCCCAACCCTTGGGAGAATTTCCCAGCTACCCGAGATTTTGATCTTCTTCACAGTCTTGTTGGTGTTGTTGGTGACGTGGACATTGACGCTGATGGGTTCTCCATGGTAATAAATCTATGAGGCAAAAGACAGGCGACCGTGGGCAGAGAAAACACCTGGTTATTCTAACCTCTGCCCCCAACTTCATCAGCCACTTCCCACTGGAATAAAAGTGTCACCCAAACTACCAAGCATATTGACTTTCAATACCATTGTGGGGCCTTTCAATGATGTCTGTACAAGAAGATGACATTCCAGGACTGGGGGACAGCTTTGTCTGTAAAGTACTTGTATTGCAAACACAAGGACCTTTGTTCAATCTCTAGACCCATGTAAAAATGCTGGGTGTGCTGGCCCTTGATTGTAATCCCAGCACTAGGGAGGCAGAGACAAGAGGATCCCTGAGGCTCAATGGCCAGCCAGTCCAGCCTAATTGGTGAGCTCCAGGCCAATGGCAGACTCTGTCTCAAAGGAAGTAGATTGTGTCCCTGAGAATGACACCCCCAAGGTCGTCATCCAGCTCCGCACATGCGCATACACACACCCACACACATGCATACCAATAAGAAAAGGAAGCTGGCATTCCTGGCTCCAGTCCTGTTCTGATCACAAGCTAAGACAACAACAGTAACTATGGTGATGGCGATTGCATGACCTTAGACATGCTATGTAAGTCTCAGATTCTCCTTTATTTGATGTGAGGGGTGGAATGGAGCAATGTCTCAAGTCCCTGTGGGCCCTGATGGTCTGGATTTGCAGACACAGAAAGTTCTGGAAGATTCAGGGGAAGGGAAGAAAGGATAACCAACTCGCTGAAGGATGCTCTGAATTCTCAGAGAAGGGCCTCCACCATATCTTACCCAGGCCCTTGCCTTTAGCTTCCCCAAGAAGGAGAGTCACACCCACACCCCAGTCAGCTGGCTTAGGGTCCTCTGAATTCTTAAGAGTTTGTTGCCTTCTAGCTCACAGATGAGAGGGTAATGGTAAGGAATCCCTGGGTGCTGTTCCCCATCACCACCCCTGCTAATACAGCTGGGCCTCCCCACCCAGCCTAAAGCAGGCAGTTATCAGGATGTGAGGAGGAATGGCCAGGACCCTTCCAGAAGGTACATTGCTCCTGTCTGGTATGTGCACATGCATACTTCTGTCAGTCCTTTGGATCCCAACAGGATTCCCAAAACCCTCAAGGAAGATCAGGAGACAGTGGGGTCTGAAGGGTATCAGAGCTGGGGACGACGAGTCTGAGCCTCTTACCTCCTTATCCAGAGATGCCTCAAGGTGCAGAGGCTTGTCCGACATGAGGAACTGTCTGGTGGTCTCGGCTGTGGGCTGAGGGCCAGGCCTCTCTGGGGCATACTGAACCTTCCGGATGACTAGCCGCACGGAATTCCTAAGGAAGATGTGTGGGGAGAAAGACAGTCACCAGCCTCCACGCTCTCGTCTCTGAGGTACCTACATCTCTCTCCTGCTCAACAGGCTACTATAGCTCCCCGCTGCGTGCCAACCACAGAGGTTAGCCTGGAGGGCTTGTTGCCATGTGACTCCACTCCAGCCTCCTCCACTCTGTCCCTGGGCAACCCTGCAGCATCACTTCATTAGATCCATGTTCCGGTACCCAGCACAATGGTAAGAATGGGACTGTGTTTTGCTTCTCACACCCTCTGTCTCCTGAAGATGCTTGAGGATGGAAGCTTCTTGTCTAACTTGTCCACTACCACAGTCTCAGCACATGTGGCTGTGTGGGCCACCTGGTGGCCTCATCTGTTAAAGACCTGCTAAGTGGAAATACGCAGAATGGACAGGCCCCCATCGGAGGTGAGGGATTTCATTACAGGATGTAGACTCAGCCAGAGTCTAGAGAGGTACAGGGCAAGGAAGAGGTGACTCAGAGAAACCCACCGAGAAGACAGGCTCAGCGGAGGTCCCAGGGCTTAGGGTAGAAGCAAAAGCGAACTGCACTGGTGAGGGACAGGGACTCGGTTGCACACTACCTCAGTGGCACGTGGGGAATGCCAGCACCCCCACTTCTCCAACAATCCACTTCCATTCCCTGGAACCTCAGAATCTTGGTGGCACACCTAGCTCTCCTCTTATTAACCACATGGCCTGAGGAAATTACCTCCCCGTGCCTCAGTTTCTTCATCGGTAAAACAGCCTCAACCGCACTTACCCCTCAGGGCCACTGGGAGGGTTAAAGCAGTCCACATCTGTCCATCACTCTGAACATGGCCAGAACCAACTAAGCGTTTGAGAACCGACAGCTCCTGGGTCATTCTTACTAGTGAGTCTTGGGAGCAGACTTAAGATGACCCACGGGAGAGGGTGAGGGTGGTGACTCTTAAGGTCGCCTGCTGTTCATTGTTCCGCTCAAGATCCCGCCCATATTCCACAACGGTCCCCTTCATCTCAGGTCTTAAGGGGAGAGTTGGGGCAGAGAAGTAAGAGAGAAGAGTCTAATCCACCCCTCCGACCCCTACACGGGAGCTGCCAAGCTGCAGCTTGAAATGCTTGTGATACACCTAGTCGCCACCAGGTGGCAAACCCGTCCCTAAAGAGGCTGGTGGACATCCCTCAGCTGACCGGTCTAGCAGCTGGACTTAGAAAGCAGGGGCGTGAGAGTCCTGTGTCCTGAAGCCCAGGGAGGGCAGCCATGAGAGGTCAAGGCCGCTGCTTTGTCCTCCCTCTGCCGAGCACTGCAGGAGAATGTCCCTTCTCTGAACCACACTTTCTCCACCTCCCTTCCTCCGCTCCTGCTCTCAGTGGGCAAGCAGGGGAGTGTGGACAGCCAGGGCACACTCTGTGCACTGTTGAAAGTTAACTGCAGTCTGGAGGGGTAAGACAGCGGTAGGGATGTGAGGGAGGACTAGCTCAGGCCCCTCAGACCACCTCCTCCAGGAAGCTCACCTTGACCTGACAGCCTTCCAGACCCTTCCTACAGCACAGCCCCTCCTCATTGGTCCTCTTCGGACTTCCCCCTCCTGCCCTTCCTCCCTTCTCCCACCGGCATCCTGCCCACCTCTTGTGGATCTTCTCCTCCAGGTTCTCGGCACAGAAGGCTTTGACTTCATAATCCACACCACAGGCCTGTGGAGGAAGCTGTGCTGACCCCAGGGTATTGGGGAGTCAGGATCCCAACCACCCTTCCCATCTTACAAGCCAGAATGCTGGGTGAGAAAATAAACTTCTGCCTCTTAAGGGCTTCTTGATATGGATCTGAAACCATGGAACCAGTGTTAACCTTGTCCCGATGCTGCCCTTGACCCAGGACCTTCCACTGGAACTGCTCCTGCGAGCCCACCAGCCAACCCCAATTACTCTTTGGACTCCGGCTTCGGTCAGGACAGCCATCAGCAATGTGAAGACCCCCGTAGTGGGTGTCGTGGTGTCTCCCACTCTCTAACAATATGAGGGCGCATGTTCCCTGTCTCTGCTGTGAGGATGAGAGTGTGAACTCTAAAGTCTGGGGCCTGGGACGCTGCAGCTATGACTCCTCTCCAAGCTTCCGTGACCCCAGCTGTAAAACAGCAGCAATCCCATCTCCAAACAAGGCAGCTAGGGACTATGTGACGCCACATGTAGGTACTCAGAATCTGCTGGTCCTGTGCAACCAATACCAGAGCCAGCAACAGTGACTCATGGGAGTCTATGACGCATCACCGAATGTGGGGGCGAGGCCAGCCTGCATCTGCAGCCTTGTCTCAAGGGACTGAAGGTCCAAGGGATATCAGCCAGGCCTAGGCCCAGGTAGCTTCAACAGGAAGGGAGGTTCCAGACGTCCACTACTCTATGGGGAGAAAACCAGGACTCTGGGGACACGAGAGCCTAGAACAAGAGAGATGGTCTCCTTGGAATGACCTACCTTCCCTGTGTCCTCAGGCCCTGGCTGCAATGTCACCGAGCATGGAAGGTTTGGAGGGATCTGTTCAGGAGACAAATACAATGAGCTAAACTTTCACTTCTGCCTTGTCTTTCCCTACACACCTCACTCCTACACACCCATCAGACCGAGTCCCCGGAGGACAGGCCATCTCTTCTCCATCAGACTAGGAACCCCCGAAATAGACTGTTTCTCTCCTGGTCCAGCCATATCACACTATGCTGCACACAGGGTCAGGGGCAGACTGGGGGAGATAAGAATTGGAATGTTCTTCACCTAAGAGCTCAGCTCAGTCCCACCCCAGAATCGTGGAGTCTTGAAAACATGAAGATGTGAACTCCAGAAGCATGGAGTCTTGGAATGGTGAGGAGGCATGACAGAGGGATCAGCTGGGCACGTGGGCAGCCTGTCTGCGGGGAGACACACAGCGGCACAGGGCCAGGCGGGTCTCCTTCCTTCACTGCAACCCACCCCGGGCCTTCCTTTCTCTAATAACTGAAATGCAGGAGGGCCAGAAGAGCAGCCTCGAGGTTAAGGTGACCTCTCCACAGTGGTCAGAGATAAGACACATAGCAGGTAATGTAAGTGATGGGACCCGGGTCCCAATCGGGTGAGTCAAAGCAGCTGCCCTCCCGGCTTCCCCATGTGCCTGCCCTGAGCGCATCCCCGGGGTGATGATGCTTCTGGACTGCAGGTGGAGAAGGAGAGCTGACCTCAAAGGTGAAGGGGTAGGCATGCTCGCCCAGCTTCTTGATGAGCCGCTCCTGTAACCGAGTCAGCGGCTTCTTGTCCTCAGGGGCCGGTGGGAAGGACTGCACGTTGGCCACAAACAAGTCTTTGCGAAAAGTCAGACCCAAGACATCCAGGTCTTCCCGGCCATACCGGAAGGCGCAGGTCAGCGTCACGTAGACTGTGAGGAGCAGGGGCACTGAGGAGGGGCCTGGGAGGGCAGCACACAACCCCCCCCCCAGAGCTCCAGCTGCAGCCCTGGGGTTTGGCCCACTGGAGGCCATCAGCCTGTCCCAGGTTCAAGTGGGGGGGGGCACCCTGGCTCTCTGACACAGGGCACCTTCAAGGGCAGCCTTGATGCAGCCTCTTAGGAAGGGGCCTCCTTCCGGGCAGTTCTGCCCTCCTCCGCTCACTCCAACCCAGGAGTACGGAGGGGCAGAAGGAGAGTCAGGCAGCCTGGCAGCTGCGGTGGTTGGATTAGGCTGGCGGACTTAGGAGAGGGGCGGAGGACAGCCTAGAAGGGAAGCGTACAGAAGGCTGCGTCTAAAAGGCGTGGGATCTCAGCCCAGCCCAACCCTAACCTTGTGCACAGACCTCCTCACCTTTAACGTCTGTGAAATGGGAGCCTCTCTCCTGCTCTGCTGTCATCCCCCCTGTACCAAGCCTTGCTGTCTTATTGATGGGACAGGGCCTAAGTTCTCCCATGGCAGGCATGAGGCAGGGCTGCTCTGGGTCAGAGGGCAGAGTTCTTACTACAGTATGCACTGGGACATTTACGCATGTAACCATAGGCTGGACAGGGAGAAGCCATGGGAGGCCACCAGAGAGCAGAGGATGTGAGCCCCCTGGCATGCTGTGTGAGTAAGAGGAACACAGCTTACCTCGCCTTTCCTTGAGATATTCAGGATCCACCAGGACCACACCATCTGGGGGAGACAATGAACAGAGTCCCCCAACTTGACCTTCTCAACCCAAGCCCCAAACATCCACTCAAACCAAACCCCAAAGATAATAAGTAGGACACACGGTCTTTGGGTACCACCTCTGCAGGATTTGTCCCTCCTGTCAGAGCCGTTGACACCTCCACAGGAAAACACAGCTCCAGTCACACTATAGAACAATGTTTCAAAGAACATTATGTATTAGGTGGCCCCATACTGCCTAGGGACATCATGGTGATTTTAGTTCGTGTAAGCACACTATGTCCTGCACACAATGACAAAACCACATAAGGACAATTCTCAGAACTGCCATCATTAAATGACTAATCTCGCCGAGAGGCTAACTATGGTAAATGGCCTTGAGTCATGGTAGGTCAGCGTGGTAATAAACAGAGTCTGCACCAGGCTTAGGAACAGTGAGATTTTTCAGAGCTCCCTGGATATTGTGAGGAGTGGGGGGTGTCTATGATCAGTAGCTCTCAAGGCTCATGTGAGGACAGGTGGGTGGTCTGTGTCAAGGTGCACATGGGTAAATTCTGTCACATATGGAAGTATTTGGACAGCCCCTGGCATGTGTGAGCATGACTGTCACGGTTTGGATCTTAAATGTCCTCCAAAGGCTGGTGTATTGAAGGCTGGTCTCCAAAGCAACAGTGTCTGCCTTTGGGAAGTGACTGGCTCGTGCGGGACCTAACCCATCAGCGAATTCACAGCTTAATGAGCTACTGGAAGGCAGTGGGAACTTTAGGAGGAAGAATGTCAGTGTGCCCTGAAGGGTCTATTTGGTTCTTAGTCCCTCCTCCCTGCTCTGCTTCCTGGTCACTGTGGAGGAAGCATCTTCGTTCCTCCACATGGCCCCTGTCACGGAATTCTGCCTCACTGCAGTGCCACAGTGACTGTGGCCTGAACCCTCTAAAATCATCTCCCAAATAAGTGAACATCTCGTCACAGTGATAAAAGGGACTCCTCACACAGTGGAGAGAATAGGAAGTACCTTAACACTGCTCACAAGGCCTGTCCTTGGGAGCAGAGCATCCGGCAGGACACAGAGGATGAGCTGAGTGTCCCAGGAGGCTAGGAGCATTGTCGCAAGGATCATCTCTGCCTGGCATCCCCGGACACACACACACACACACACACACACACACACACACACACGCACACGCACACGCACACACACACACACACACACACACATGCGCGCGCGCGCCTCTAACACATTACCACAGTACCCACTCCCATGCTATCCCTATAACTGACCACTCAGACTATCTGAGAAACAGACATTGAGTACCTTAGTCCAAGGTCATTGGGTCGTCTAAACAGGGATATCCCCAATCTGTCCTCAGGGTCCCCCACCCCCCATGCATACTTTTCTATCCATGATGGGCATCACCTCTGTGCCATGTCCTGCACTGACTGGAATCCTGGGACTCAACTGAGAATAAATACAATGTCCCAGTGAAGGCATTTGCCCCTGCCAGCTGTACTTCCTCAGTGGGGTTGGGGGGAGGGTGACTTGGAGCCAGGCCCTATAGGACAAGGAAGCGTCGCTCACTACATGACCAAAGGACATGACAAGATAGCCAGAAGGAACAGTTCAGCTCTGTGGCCTTAAAGCAGTGAATTGCAAAGTCTGGTAGGAGAGGATTCCCAGAGCTGGTGGCACATGCCCCATCAACCGGCCCTGGGCCCTGGACTAGCACCAGGTCCCCGCCCCAGATGGGATGGTGAAGTAAGGGGAAGACAGGACCAGTTCAGAGAGAGGGCAATGTCATAGACAGAGGGCTTCTTCTCTTTTTCTTTTTTCAAGACAGGGTTTCTCTGTGTAGTTTTACGCCTTTCCTGGAACTCGCTTTGGAGACCAGGCTGGCCTCGAACTCACAGAGATCCACCTGCCTCTGCCTCCCGAGTGCTGGGATTAAAGGTGTGCGCCACCACTGCCTGGCGACAGAGGGCTTCTTAATGAGGCACATGGCCAAACCTGGACAGTGACCTAGGAACTCACTGGGTCCTCAGATCCAATGTGTATACTGAGGATGCAGCTCCCTCCTTCTCTAGCCCTTCCACAGCCTCTGCTGCTCCTTCTAGGGTTATGTTCAACACTGGCCCACAGAGAACTCTCTGGAATCCACTGCCTAAAGCCCCGCACAGGTGAACCCCAGATGAACCGCAGGCCCAGTGCCTCAGAAAAGCCAGTTCTGAAGAAGATGCAAATGGTGGAGTATCAGAAAACCTACACATTGTCCCCAGGCAAGGCTGGAGAGGAAGAGTGGGTGGCCCTGTCCCAGGTCATAAAAGAAGGGGATTGAAGAGGAATGAAGCCAGAATCCGCAGCTTGCAGCCCTGCCCAGGGCCCCTGCTTACAGTCACGGGGTCTTTTCTCTGATGAGCTAAAATCTGCTGCTATGCTCCGTCCTCGTGACTCTGGAACCACAAGGGTCCCTCTTAGCCCAGGGCAGTGCACAAGAACATAGCAACTTCTCTAGGACACCTCCTAAGTCACACACCCCAGTTTCTTCACCTGGCCCTGGCCTCGGTTTACATCACTCTGGTTTGTTCATGACCATCTTTTAAAAAATAATAATGATGACAATTGAACCTCTCTGGCCTCAGTGCTTCCATTTGTAAACCAGGGTGATTCTGGACCTCCCTCATCCAATATGAAAAGAGGCTTGAGGCCAATGTCTTTCTATAGAAGCAGCTGTTCTGAGCATGGGCAATTCACTTCCACAGGGTCACTTAGCATTGTCCTATCTGTGGTGGTGGTGGTGGTAGGGGTAGTTCTGGTACCTAATGGGCAGGGGCCAGGGATGACGGCAAATATCCTGCAGTGTACCAGGCAGATGCCACCAACAAAGAATAATCCAATCCAAGATGGCAACAGTTCCAAGGGCAAGAAACCCTGAACTCAGCCAAGACCTTAGGAGCCGATCTCAGCTGTGACTCAGCCTCTCTGGCAGAGCCCCACTTAGGTGAGGACAGCCCCTCTTTCCAAAATCCTGAGAAGAATTTCCCCAGGAGATAGCAGAGCCAGGGGCTAGAATGCAGACCCTTCGACTCACTAGCTCTGTGACCTGGAACAAGTCGCTGGGCCTCTCTGTTCCTCAGTCTGTCCGGAAAGCAGGAAATACTGCTGCTGCACACTAAGCCTTATATAAACTGTGGCAGCTGCTGTCCATCAGGGCCTCCTTCCAGCCTTGGAGCAGTCAAAGAGGACTCTCTCTCTTGACTAGGAAGGAGCTGCCCAGAAAGAAGCTCGCTTCCTGGAGCAGGAAGCCATGGCCACCCATTCTGGTACCAGGCCCTGGTGGAGGAGATGGGGCTCTTCCCTAGCCCACTGGCCAGCACTCACCCACAGGATCCACGAGGTCAATGTGGTCCACGAAGTCCCGCTTCCCCAGGTAGACAGTGAGCTGGAGAGGAGAGGCACATGAAGATTAGTGGCTATGGGCCAGCACGACACAGGACGCCGACATCTACACACATTTCTAACCCTTCCTGGAACCACAGCAAGATGTGGCCCCTCAAACCTAATATTAATATGCCTAATATTAATGATAGTAGACCTTGGAAAAGTTTTTAAGCAACTCTGCCTCCCAAACCCCTATGAAAGAGTTGGTTTTCTTCCCCTTTTACAGACAAACATACTGAGGCCGAGGGAGGTCTTCAAGCCAAGCCCCCTGAGGAGCTGGAGGGAGAACAGATCAAAACAGGAAAGCAGGGCATCCTGAGCAGGGTTGGTGAGCAGGCAAGCAAGCCACGTGCTCAGTGCAGGTGCTGAGGCTGGCTCTGGGCTCTTCAGCTCTGCCTACCCTGCACTAGGCCGGGAACTGCTCACATGAGTTTCTTCTGGGGCACTGAGGAATCAGGGAGCTAGCTCCTACCCAATCACCAGCCAGCAAGGAGGAGCCCTGAGCCAGCTAGAGCTCCACTGGCTCAAAACTGAACTGAGAGCACCATCCTAGATGGCCCTGCTCCCCAGCCTCCCCGCAGTCCTGACCATTCTGCTCCATCATATTCCTCAAGGGAGACCACATCAGTCCCTTTGACATTCTGCGGCCTCCAGCTGCTCCCATCACCTTAGCCACACCTAAAAGGCAAATCTAAGCAAGCACCCGGTTCAGACAGCTGTGCCTTCCTGAAAACTCCTTAACCATTTCTCTGTGCCTGGAGGGAAGGATGACAGATGGATTTCATTCTAAATACCAAATCTAACTGAATGGTCTAGGAGGCCTGGGGCCCTGGATTGCCAAGGAATCCAAGATAGGGCAGATCCTGGCTCAACAGGAAAGGTTAAAAGATGATTAGTGATGTCTGCTATGGACTCCAAATGGAGACAGAGATGTGCACAAGGCAACCCAGGTGTGTGAGCTGCTAAGCCTGCCCGCAGGACACCTGCCATGGGTCCTGTGTCATCCTCAACTCTGCTCCTTCCGCTCACTTAGAGACTCACTAGCCTGGATGTCCCACACTTCCTTGGATTTTATGCTCCACCCTTTAGTTCCCCCTTTTCACTTAGCTTTGCCTAGAATGGTGTCACCTCCAGAGGAAGCCATGGTTGAGACACACATCCCAGGCAACGTCTTCCAGTCCCTGGGCATCCCAGGATCTCACACTTGGCATTTATCTCAGTACTCTCCCGACCCCCAGCAGGCCCAGCCCAGACCTGGCATAGATGTCAGTACAGCCTGTTTGCTGAACAGAGAGTAAAACAGGATACGGTCTGCAGCCTGTGCAAGCAAGCAAGAAGCCCAGGCCCTGGGAGCCCTGGGAGGAAGATGGACGAGGTGACACCATGCCCTCTCACACCAGGGGACTTGATGGCATCACAGTGGCCAGCTTGTCTCAGTTTCTCACACTCACACTGATGTCTCTTCAGGACAGTCCAATCCATCTCTCCCCAGCTGGGGCTTCCTGAAGCCCCACAGAAAGTTTCCAGGGAGCCCCCCATACCTCCCACGCACCCCATTTGGATTGGGGGCTCCTGAGGAAAGAGCTGTGTCAACCCCAGACAGCTAGCAGTGCCTGTCTCTCCCTGGAGATGCTGCTTCCTTTCCTAGTCCAGAGAGGCGCCCCGAGTGTGGGGACAGTGAGGAGCCAGCACACACCACAGACTCACCTTTCCATTGGGGCTTGCCTTCTTGAACACTCTGTGGAAAGAAAGAGAGGCGAAGCCAGGGTTAATGGATTCTGCCTGGCCAATCTCTTGCAGGCGACCCTGAGGCAGGGCCATAGGTGATGGCCTTGAGTGGCATCCGGGCACCAGCAAAGGCTCAGAGCAAGACAGCGTCCATCCTTCTACCTCTCCTAGGATGATGCCAGGCGCCTGCAGCCCTCCTTCAGTCCTTCGGAGTGGACTGAGGGAGACTCTCAAGTTCACCCAGCTCGTGTACAGGAAAACCCTCGAATGCCCACAAGGTCCCAGGGATCTGACCTCGCCTCCTCCTCTCCCTGTGCACCCCCCACCCCCCGCCACGCTCCCTTAGTCTCCAGGCTCACTGCTCTCCAGCCCCTCTGTTCCTTGCTGTTCCTTATGCACCAGGTGACTCCTCAAAATTTCCCTACCCTGCTCTCCTACCCGGGACAAGGGACACTCTTCCCAAATATCCACTTCCCAATCCCGCAGCTGTCAAGCCCGGCCATCCCGTCCCCCGGTCCTCCTCTCGATTCCTTCTTCCTTTCTTCCCAGCAACCCCTGAAATGCCACATACTCTACTTCTTGCCCCCTCCCCGCCCCCTGTCTGCTCTGCTGGCATGCGTGCTCTACCACAATGGACTCTCTCCTGTCCACAGGTGCATCCCAAACACAAGGGCACACCTCACTATTGTTCCACAAATGTGTGTTAAACGACATCAGGCAGCAAGAGCTCCATAAACACCAGGTGAAACAGATAAACAAACGAACCGTGTGGCTCCACCGAGAGACGGAGGCACAGGAAAGTGGGGGGAGATGCCTGTGCTCACACAGCAGAGCACTGGGCGGGAGGTCAGATGGCAGTGTAGTCCCTAGAGCTTGAAGAGTGCCACTGGCCTTCCATGGCAACCCTTTCCCCCTCCCAGAGCTGTGTCTGGGAGCCTGAGTCTCCCTCACCTACATACCATCAGCCGGTAGACAATTTCTCAGCCGCTGTTGGGGAGAAGTGGAAGAAAAGGAAAACTAGAGAGCCGGGGATGAGGAAAGGGATGGAAAGAAGGAGGGGAGGGGTGAAGAGAGGAGAGACAGAGATACATGTATGAAAATAAAAGATGAACAAGAGACGGGAGGAAAAGAGAACCAGGGAAAGAAAGAGAAAGCCTGAAGCGGAGAGATGGGACAGACCCAGAAAGATGAATCTGCTCCACCACGCTCAGCGGGGTATGCCCCCAATCCTTCCCAGAAGGTGATCGGCAGGCATCCAGGCCTGTGACTGTGGGGTCTCCACAGCCTTGGCCCAGCCTCGCCTCCCATCTGGGGCCCAGGGAATATTGACAGGTCTGAGTGTTGCTTGCAAAGGAGAGTTTGGCCCAGCATTTCCCCAAGGCTCCCCTAGGGGCCCTAGGAGCCTCTTCTCCTCATTATTATTTATCAGTGTTGGGAGTGTGAAGACGCCACAACCAGCCTGGGTGTGATAATTGTTAAAGTAAGGGAAAAATGCAGAGCACTCAGTCTGAACCGGCAACTCCAAGCTCCATGTTCCTCCAGGAAGCCAGAGAAGCGACAACCCTGTAGCTTCCAAGCCTCACTCACCTCCAGCCCTTGGTAGCCCGGGCTCTGAGGGAAAGGAAAGATCTCACACCCAGACAGCATAAACAACCAAGGGAGGGAAAAGGCTGCTGAAAAGGTCGAGGCACACCGAGGGCCAGGAGAAACAACATTCACCAAGCAGAAAGGGAGGGGAGGCGAAGCTCTGGCGAGCCGCTAATTATTTCTCATAGTAGAATGTGTATTCTAACTCCCACTCCACAGAGAACTAACCGGAGGCTCCAGGCAGTGCATTAACTTGCCCAGGAGCAGAGCAAACAAGGGACCAGGTCAGGACCCAGCCCCGCTTCTGGTGGGGCCTCCAGGGACTGGCGCCTTCATCCAACCCACTGTTTCCTACATCCATGTTTCAAAAAGGCAGGAAGAACAGATGAGCGGGGAGGGCAAGGGGAATAAAGGGAAGGTGACAGAGGTGAGGGGCGGAGTGGGGGTGATGAGGGGCAGGAAGCACAGCCATGCACGGGGAATGTCCTGCTGCCACCTTAGTCAGCACCCGAGGCCACCTCCTTCAGGAAGCCCGGACTCTTGTGGCTTCCTCAAACAACACGAGCAGCTGCCTTGTTCTCCGCCGGTGTTTGTTTTTTCCCCACTCACGCCTTTAAGTACTTTTCCCAGGACAGTGCTGATCCCGGACAATCCCATTTCAAAGACTCAGAAATTGGGGCTAGAAGAGGTCACCCCCGAGGCTCAGCCAGTCCATCACACCGCCAAGCACCACCACTCCTTGCCCCCAACACTATCGGAAAAGAGGCTCCACGGAGTATTTTCAGTCTCCACAACCCCACATGGGCAACACCACACGGACCTCTCTGCCTGTGGCGGGCACCAGTTTAACCTAAGCCCATGATCCCAGCCAGCCTTGCAGGGCTGAGCAGCTGCATCTGGTTCACCCCCAGCCCTGCCTGTGCTCTACAACCTAAGCCTCAGTCACAGCTGGGTTCCCCAAAGAGATAGACAAGCAGTGTCCTTCCTGGATAAGGTTCAGGATAGCTCAAGAGAAAGAAGAGAAGGTCCTAATAAGGAGGCCGAAATCTCACGGGAAGGATGAGCAGGCAGGATGCGCTGGGGCTGGAGATGGGAATGGGGACGCCATCGGAGCCTCAAGCCAGAGCTCCCTGTCTCCACCGCTCCTTCTGGGGCTGCAGGTCCTCCTGGCTGCGAGGCTGGCTGTGCGGCTGCTCCATTGTCTCTGTGGACCAGCGCGCTCCGCTTACTCAGGGATTTTTCTGTTCCTCCATCCTTTGGGCTCGCATGTGACTCACACTCCAACCCTGTTTCTACCCTGCCTCTCACTCAGCTTCCCGCTGCTAACTGACTGAATGGCCCAATTCCAAATTCCCAAGAGAGGAATCTGATTGGTCAGCTTTGATTAGGTATCCCACCCCTTGGCCCAATCACCTGTGTCCAGGACTTACCCCGTAGTCCATGAAGCATGAACAGAAGAGGCTCTAGAGATTAGTATGTCCAAACCAGAGGTTGCAATTCTCTGGTTGATTAGGAAGTCTACTTCAAATATTAGGGGATGAGGAGATTGCTCAGTGGACAAATCTCCTGCCTCACAAGCATGAGGACCTGAGTTTGGATCCCCAGTACCCACATAAGAGCTGGATATGGCAGTGTGCGCCTGCAAGTCCAGCACTGGGGAGGCAAAGATAGGCAGTTCCTGGAGGGGTTCTCTGGCCACACAGTCTGGCCTACATAAAGAGCTCTGGATTCAGAGAAAGCGCCATGTTTAGTGAGAGACCCTGTTTCAAAAACTAAGGTGAAAAATGACAGGGGAAGACACCCATAGCTGACCTCCAGCCCCCACATTCATACACTCACACACATGTGCACAGACACATACAATACACACATACACAGAGATTTTTTTTTGAGGCAGGGTCGTACTGTGTAGTCCTGGCAGGCCTGGAATTCACAATACAGACAGGCAGGCCTTCAGACTCACAGTGATACTCCTGCCTCTGCCTGCCAGGTGCTGGGATTAAAGGCATGCACTCCTATGCCTGACTATATTTGAGGGTTGTTTGTTTGTTTGTTTTCAAGACAGGGTCTCACAATGTAGCTCTAGCTGTCCTGAAACAACTCACTGTGTAGACCAGACTAGCCTCAAACTCAGAGATCCTCCTGCCTCTGACTCCTGAATGTCACCATACTCAGCTTTATTTTTTGTTTTTTTAATGAAATGGAATGGACTATAATATAGAAACGTGCTACAGGCAGCAAAGATGTAATAGATACTCCTATAGGTACCACCAGGATTCTGACTCCCTGAGGCTGGATGTATGGGATACCAAGCATCTCCCTGCCTGTGGAGTTAGACACCACCTTGTGGCTTATTCTGATCAATGACATAGGAGTACATTGAAATACCACATGCCACTTTCAGCCAGATGCTCAGAAGGGGGATGTCCATGGGTCTCCAAACCCCTCATACTCATTTTCTGTGGCTGCCATTACAAAGCCCCACACATTCAGTGGCTTCAAATAACACAATTATAGTTCTGTGCTTCAGAAGTTCAAGGTGGGCCTCCCTGGGCTAAAATCAAGGGGTCAGCAGCCCTTGGTTCCTTCTGGAGGTTCTAGGGACAAATCTGCTCCCTACTCTCTCTGGCTTCTAGAAGCCTCCTCCCTCCACCTTCAAGCCACTGAAAGAAGGTAGGCTAAATTCTACTGCATCACTCAGATCTGCCCTCCCTTTCTTTTCAAGACAGTTGAGATGTCACGGGGCCCATCTGGGTGATCCAGAATGATCTCTCTATTTTAAGGTCATCAGATTAGCAGCCTGAAACCCATCTGCAGCCATCATTACCCATTGCCACATAGCACAACATTCAGAGGCTCCAAGGAGTAGGACCCCGACATCTTGGGGCAAAGTATTGCTTTGCCTGCCACACTATCTTTCTTCTGTTGCTAAATTCAGAAGTGTGCTGGATTTTCTGCTACATGGCCATCCAGACAGAGAGGCTTGGGTCTTGTCAGATATATGATTTTAAAATTTGAAATCCTGAGCTGGGTGATGGTGGCGCAGGCCCTTCATCCCAGCACTCGGAGGCAGAGGCCGTTGAATCTCTGTGAGTTGGAGGCCAGCCTGGTCTACAGAGCAAATTCCTGGACAGGCTCCAAAGCTACACTGAGAAATCCTATCTCGAAGGAAAAAAAAAAAAAGAAACAAAATTTGAAACCCTGAGGCATTTGTTACTGCAGCAGACCAGCTGGAACCTAACACAGGGAATGCCTATGGTAAACCGACCCTAAAATTCACAGGGGAACGCCAGGGAGCAGACTTGCCAAAATAATCTTGAAAAGAATAGACAAATTAGGAAGGCTTGGACTTCTCAATTTCCAAACTTACTGCAAAGATACAGTGATTAAGAGGGCTAAAGAACACATATTGCTCTTCCAGAA